AATTATATAAATTGGATATGATTTTTAAATAAAAGGTAACATCTTTCTTAAAAAAAACGAATAAAATTCTCATTCTCCGTCATTTTTGACGGGCTATCTACTAGTTATAAATAATTATCAAGTTAATTTTATAAGGTAGGAATAAGATAAAATACCATTCGGAAAGACCAAATGGCAAACTTAAAAAAAAATAGGATCCTTGTGAATAAGTATAGAATAATTCAAATAATATATAAATACTGTAATATGTATTTTTTTTGGAATAAATATAAAATGCTAAAAATAGAAAACCCCGTTTAGTATTTTTTATTGAAAGAATAAAAAGGAATATTGTTAAAAAAAGGTAGGAACCTTAAGAATAAATATATAATTTTAATTGAATAAAAATAAATATTTTAATATATATTGATTTTTTAAAATAGATATAAAATCATATATAAAATTATTAATAATAAAAATAATGTATATTTTTTTTGAGCATTATACAAAATAATCAGCAGGAATAATAGAGCAATGGTGGATTCGACAAAATGGTAAGCTTTTAAAATAGTATGATCCTTGTTATATTAATTTAGTTAAATTTTAAAAATATACTTTGTATAATTTTCAGTTAGATAAAATATTCATCAGAGATAAAAGGGCATTATGTGCGGCCCGACAAAATGGATAGCCTTAAAAATACGTAGGATGCTTAAAATAATAAAAATTTATTTAAATTATAAAAAAATATTCGATTTTTTGGAATAGATATAAAATCATATATAAAATTATTTATAATAAAAATAATGTACTATGTATATTTTTTTGTGCGTTATACAAAATAATCAGCAGGGATAATAGAGCAATGGCGGATCCGACAAAATGGTATACTTGTTAAATATGGATAATTATTTTATTATACTGGTTGTTATATAGCGCAAATTTTTATATGTCGCATTCATTTAAATTTAATTAACACAATTGATATTAACTTCACTTAATAGTTTCATTTAAATTATTTAATAGATTTTTTTTATAAATTAAGAATAAGTAAAATATTTTGAAAATATATTTATTAAATAAAAGTTTTAAATCATTTTCTTAATTTTGTTCTTCTCCCTAATAACTTTAACACTTTAAAAAAAGTAGGATCCTTAAAAATTGTTATATTAATTTAGTTAAATATTTAAAATGTACTTTGTATATTTTTCAGTTAGTTAGACAAAATATCATCAGAGATAAAAGGGCATATTGTGCGGTCCGACAAAATGGATAGCCTTAAAAATACGTAGGATGCTTAAAATAATAAATATTCGATTTTTTGGAATAGATATAAAATCATATATAAAATTATTTATTTATAATAAAAATAATGTACTATGTATATTTTTTTGTGCGTTATACAAAATAATTAGCAGGGATAATAGAGCAATGGTGGATCCGACAAAATAATATACTTTAAAAAAAGTAGGATCCTTAAATTGTTATATTAATTTAGTTAAATATTAAAAATGTACTTTGTATATTTTTCAGTTAGTTTGACAAAATAATCATCAGAGATAAAAGGGCATATTGAGCGGCCCGAGAAAATGGATAGCCTTAAAAATACATAGTTAAAATAATATAAATTTATTTAAATTATAAAAAAGTAAACAATTTTTTGGAATAGATATAAAATCATATATAAAATTATTTATAATAAAAATAATATACTATGTATATTTTTTTGTGTGTTATACAAAATAATGAGCAGGGATAATAGAGCAATGGTGGAACTGACAAAATGGTAAGCTTTTAAAAAAGTAGGATCCTTAAAAATTGTTAAATTAATTTAGTTAAATATTAAAAATGTACTTTGTATATTTTTCAGTTAGTTAGACAAAATATCATCAGAGATAAAAGGGCATATTGTGCGGTCCGACAAAATGGATAGCCTTAAAAATACGTAGGATGCTTAAAATAATATAAATTTATTTAAATTATAAAAAATATTCGATTTTTTGGAATAGATATAAAATCATATATAAAATTATTTATTTTTAATAAAAATAGTGTACTATGTATATTTTTTTGTGCGTTATACAAAATAAGCAGGGATAATAGAGCAATGGTGGATCCGATAAAATGGTATACTTATAAAAAAGTAGGATCCTTAAAAATTGTTATATTAATTTAGTTAAATATTAAAAACAATGTACTTAATATATTTTTCAGTCAGTTAGACAAAATATTCATCAGAGATAAAAGGGCATATTGTGCGGCCCGACAAAATGGATATCTTTAAAAATACGTAGGATGCTTAAATAATATAAAATTGTTTAAATTATAAAATAATATCATACTAAGTAATGTTCACTCTTATTCGAAAAAATTTTGTCAAGCCCAGCTCAATTCCCCATTATAAATATGAGATATATTTTTTAAGCCCAGTCCAACCCATAATAATTTCAAAAAAATTTCCCAAGCCCAGAGATATTAAATTTATAATTAATGAAGGGGAAATCTCTGATTTACCAATTAGTCTACAGGTAAAATATATTTCTTTATAAAAATATTAACATAAGACTAACATTTAACATTAAAAAAATCCCAATATAGGTTCAAGCCTACAATATTTGGAAAAAATTTATAAGCATCCAAGATCTTAATAATCTAAAAAGAATTTCTCAAGCCCACCTCAATCCCTAATAATTTTGAAAACCAAGCCAATATTAATTTTGAGAAATATTTTTTAAGCCCAGTCCAACCCATAATAATTTTGAAAAAAATTCCCCAAGCCTAGAGATATTAAATATATAATTAATGAATGAGAAATCTTTGATTTACCAATTCATCTATGAGCTAATTCCTAGTTATATATGCAAAAAAAAACATGTGAATTCGTAATAAGGGTAACTGAGAAAGCCTGGGCAAACCACTTATTAGAGAATCATGACAAAATAATGTCTGCCCTAATATTATTATAAGAAATAAAAAATATTACCTCGTATTATTGGAGATAACTCCTATTTAGTAAATAATGTATTACTTTGACAATTGGTTTTAATATGGCCTCCTACAGTTGCATAGAAACTTAAGTTATAGGATCATCTGTTAAATTGAATTTCTATATAAAATATTAATAATTTGTAATATTTTGTAAATAGATATATTTAATGTATATTAACATAAGACTAACATTTAACATTAAAAATCCCAATCAATATTAATAATTTGTAATATTTTGTAAATAATGTATTACTTTTTCCAAGCATCCAAGATCTTAATAATTTAAAAAGATTTTCTCAAGCCCACCTCACAACCCAGATACAAAACGAAGTAATATCTATTAAGGCAGATATCGTGCTTGAATATATTTCAGAGAAACATAACAAAAGTGAGATGCTTTTTTTGTTTTAAGGCTGATGAGACAAAATAAGCATCAGATTGTGAAAACCTGAGTATAATTATTTGTTATATTTTTTATGAAGAAATCCAAGAAAATTTAATAGAAATTAGTAAGTGTTTTTCTGCTGAAAGCATTACTGATTGTGATTGAATTTTAAAGCAACCTAATGAGTTAAATATTTATTCAACGAATATAATAAGTCAGACTTGTAATGGTGCAAACATTATGTCTGGCCGAAATGAGGATTGCAAACCCTAATTTTTTTTAATTTATCCAATGCATTGTATAATTTTTTTAGACGTTTTAAGGTATCCTATAAATAAAAAGGCCATACTCTTAAGAGACTTTTAGGCCAGAGGTGGATTAATCATTTAGAAAAATCTCGCATCATTTATGAAAATTTTGAGGCTATTGGTGAAGTATTATTTTACTTTTCTAGTAGAACTCTTAATTCAGAGGTTTCCACTTATGATTCAATCGAAGCCTCTAATCTTTTACCTCAATGCCTTAATATAAATTACGTTATATTAGCCATTATAATTTATGAGATATTAATAACAATAGATCCAACTAATCTAGTGGATGCTAAAAATTGTATTGATTCCACAATCAATATATTAAAAAATAAAAGAGGCGATTATTCTTTTGATTAGATTAGAATTAAGGCTGAAAAACCTTTAGCAAAATTTAATCATAATAATTATGTTTTGATATATTGTCCTCCCTTTGACCCGATAATTTTATATTATATAAAATGGCCCTATCAGAATCATTATTAAACTTAAATATGGAAAGGTTACATCATGAAATGAATATAACTAATGGATTATTAGCTGCAAAAGTTAACACATAATTTTGAAAATATCCTAAATATTATGAGAAAATATCATTATGTATTTAAAGAATTGTATAAATGCTACTCAGCAGCCATCATCATTAGGGTATCAAAGGCTTCTTGTGAGGCCTCGATCTCTACATTAAAGAGAGTCTATATTTTTCCGCTACAAAAATAATCTCCCGTAGTCGCCAATATTAGATAGTGGTTAAATAACTAATAATATTTATTTTCAAATTTAGTTCAATAAGTTATATCGTTAATAATTATTTTAAAATTAATCAAAAACTTTTAAAAGAAATAAATAATTACTCAAATAAATATGAAATATAATTTAAGGTCTGCTCCTCTTTATTTAAAAGCATTATTCCTGCATAAATCTCATAATTATTATTTAAAATTGAATTATATATTTTATATTAATCATATATATTTCAAATCATTTGACTTTTCTCTCTTTCTTTCTTTCTTTCTTTCTTTCATTCATTCTTTCTTTTTGAAAGGAAAGGAAAGGAAAGGGAAGTTGAATCTTGGTCATTTTTCGAAGCAGGGACTTTCGATTTTAAATACTACAACTGAGCTTCGCTTCTGGGTCGAAAAAATCGCCCCTCGAAAGTAGAAACAAATGTTAAAGTTTATGTTAAATATTTATAGAGGCTAAATTTAAATTTAAGAGTTAGTATCTAAAGCTTATACTTTATAGATAATTTCATTTTTATTGGTTAAATAATATTACGAAAACTTTAAAATTTGCCCACCTTAACATATGACCACACTTTTTAGTTGTTCGGCATTACCATGCTCTACTTGATTGGACTTGGGTTATCTGGTGTAGATGATATTACAATTAAAAGCTATGAAATAATCAAAGACTGTGATAAGATATATATGGATATATACACTTCAATATTAATAGGAACAGATAAAAAAACTTTGGTAAACTAACTTATATTAAAATTAGATCTATACATTATATTAGGAATTGTATTATGAGAAACCAATAAATTATTTAAATAGAGAACTTCTAGAAGAATCAGATGGTCAGTTAAATCTTTTTAGTTATATTTTAGGCTTTTTTTAGATTTAATTAAAGAAGCACTCTCATTAAAAATTTGTTTACTTATTATAGGTGATCCATTATCGTAAATTTTCATAATAATTAAACTTAATTTAAATTTTTTCATAGTGCTACGACTCACTCAGAAATAATTTTACGCTGTATTGATAATAATGTAAAATATAAAGTTTTACACAATTCTTCTATTATAACTGCAGTTGGTGATTGTGGTCTTCAAGTAAATTATTTTTTTAGATATATAATAGCAGAAAATAGATATATAAATTTGGAGAAATAGTATCCATAGTAGCATGGGATGAATTTTGTAAACCAGCCAGTTTTTACGATAAAATTATTGCAAATATGAAAAGGGGACTACATACTCTTTGCTTGTTGGGTAATTAAAATTAGATTTTAAAAATTAAATGGTTTATAATAGATATTAAAATTCAGGAAAAGTCCATTGAAAATATTATCAAGTATGTGGTTAAATAATTGATATTGATTTTAAAAAAAAATTATATTAGAAATCGACCTATATATGAACCCCCTTATTTTTTAACAATTAATAAAGCCATTTATCAATTACTTGAAATATCCAAATCAAAATTAAAAGAAGATCCCGATAATGGTACAAATAATAATTTATAATTTTGTATTAAATAGTCTACAGCATTAATCAATTTGAGCACAAAAGGTTTTGGGTTAGCTAGAATGGGTAATGATAACCAAAAAATAGTTTCTGGAAAAATGGAGGAGCTATTAAATTTCCAATTTGGTCTCCCACTTCATTCTTTGGTTATTGTAGGGGAATTACATGATGTTGAACAAAAATTTTATGAATATTTTTCAATGCTTAATTATATTTAGTTGTAAATCTTATAATTTCACATTTTAAATCATTTGTATTAGCTATTTATATATCTATATTTTATATCAGAGATCTTTAGGCCCAGTATAAAAAAAACCATCCCAGGACCATAAAAAAACCTTTATAAAAATTGTTATTTATATTTAATTAACTTAGTAATGGAAAAGATTAAACCCACTGCTTCTACCTTCTCTCCTCACTTTGCTATTAGAGAAGATTGTAACATATCCCATCCCCTTAGACAATAAGATAATCTAAAAATTGGTTTTTAAGATTTTCTTCAACACCATCAGATGTGACTTCTTTTCTTCTATAGACTCTTCCCAATTAGCTATCATTTTATTATTGTTAGAATGAATGTTGTTGTTAAATGGCTTGATTTCACCAATTTTAAATTAAGATTCTCGATAAAATATTATTACACAACCCTCGAATTTCGTTGATTTTACAAACTTTTCTGCCATCTATGAGAGAAATCTTGCCCAGTATTTCTTGACTAAAATATTGGGCCAGCTAAGAATTAAGTCATTTAACGCTAATTATTATAAAGAATCTGGCCTGAAATTTGGCCAACACACCATAAAGTTTCAAAAGGATATTCAACAAGGAGATCCATTTAAACCTCTCTTATTTAATATGGGAATTAGAGATATACAAATCACAGCCCATTCCCGACCCTAGCCCGGCTCGAACGAGTTTTGGGCTGAGTCTATTTAAGAAAATAATAATTTCAGGTTGGGTCGGGTCTAATATTTTTATTTGTAGAATATTTTTTGTTTATAATAAAAAAAATTAAATATTCTATATTTGAATATATTCGGGCCAGACCGGGTGGACAAATAATTTTTATTTGGGGTCAAGCTTTTCGAGACAAATAAAAAAAATTCGTTTAGGATCGGGCAGGACAAATTTTTTCGGGCTTGAAAAATTAGACTCGATGCAGATGAGATCACTATTGGGAATTAATAACCTGGCTTCTATTTTAATGATTGATTCAACCTTGACATTATTAGTACCTGGACTTTTTTGTGGTTCTTTCTAAAATATCATAGGCAATAGTTTGAGCCTTCACATGGATTATAGAAAATCCGAGAATTGCTCTCCCTCTTCACAATTCCAAGGTTTATTATCACCATGTCCTAGTAAATACTATTAGGCGCTTCTATCGGGGGCTATTCTTCGACTTCGGAATTCTTATTCGAAGCGATTTAACTAATATGCTAGTATACATTCTGTAATGTATTTAAATAAATTGATTTTTTTATATTTGCTTAAAGCTACAATTTATAAAAATAGAAAAACATATATATGTTGTATTCCATATCAAATCAACTGAAAATTTAACCCCACCCCCTTCGATTTTTTTAAAAATGATGGTAGTAGTATATACACTTACTAGTAAAAATATAAAATTTTAATTCTCAACTCAGATTACTTCATAAGATATGGCCATCTTTAGAAACGCAGAAATTCCAAAATACACTATATTTAATTTTAAATATCTCAAAAAGTAATTAAACTAAAGACATGATTTAAATTTTATTAAATAGCTCTAGAATAGTTCTTTAATATGACATAAAATTTATTTTATTGAAAAAAAGTCTATTACCAAAAACCGGAAATGGCTATAAAATAAAAATTGCTCTTTTTTTTTCTTTTAAATTTTTTTTACAGATAGACATTATACTTATTAATATTTGTAAAAAATCCTAGATTGGGACGAGTACTGGGCCAAAAGTTATTACACTTTAAATATAAGTAGCATGGCTTAAATCCTATATTATACCAAATATAGAGTAATTATTTTTTTAAAAGTGGGCAATATATGTGAATAAAAGCATTAAAACTAAAATCCTAAAAAATCTGATTATTTTGCATTTATTAAATGTTAAAAAACTCAAAACAACATTTACCAAATTGTATTGTATTATTTTAAATATAACGCATAAAACCAGGTAGAATAATTCCGATTGACGTTGCAAATAAAGTAATATAATTTTATAATTCTGATGAAAACAGCAGACTTATGCCAGGTATGAATAATTTTATATATATGAAAGTTAATGGAAAAAAGAACCAAGTGCAAAAGAGATTAGTTTTATGTAATATAAAAGAATTATTTACCAATTTTAAAGAAATAAACACTAATAATAGGTTTTAGCAAACTTGCTATCATGAGACCAAAAAACTGTATTTTAGCAGGCGGGTCTGGAACGCATACAATGTGCATCTGCACATTTCATTAAAATTTTAAGTTAATTATAATTGATGGTAAATTAAATAAGTTAACTGCAAACCAGCATAACTTTCCATTTCCTCCCTTAAAAGATTATAAACACTACAACACAAAGTCTTACCAAGATGCTTATTAAGAATAATATATTATCTCCCAGATACCATTTTACTAATTTATTCCCCTTATTTTATTTTTTAGTTGTTTTTTAATAATTAAACCAAGCTCTCCATTTTTTTATTAATTTTACATTAGTTTATATTCTTGTTACCTTTTTGACATTATACTTTTGCTACAACTTACAAGCAACCCATTATTTCATCATTAAAAGATACACAAGTGTTTTAAATAACTCTTAATTGCCAAACTACATTTATATTTTTTGAATTTTAAAGGCTCCAAATATTATTAAGATTTGTTCATTAAAACTTTTTATTAAAGATTTAAAATATTATTAAGATCTTTTTATGAATTTTTTTTTATTCTATATATATTGTTTTATAATTAGGTATTTTAACATTACATTATGTTATAACCATATTAACCAAATTGAAATATTCACAAGAAGTTAAATAATATATACTTAATTTCTTTTTCTCTTTTAGGTTATTTTGCAATTGATATGAAAATATTAATCAAAATATCTATAGTAGATTTTAAGCTTAAAATCAGCCACCTCCCACCCTTAAAATAATTAAATTATCTTGTAATTCTCGGGTATAGGCTTTTGTTTTGTCCAACTTCTTTTGTTATTAGCTATAGCTTATAGACGTTTAAATAACAGTTTTCAAACTGTTGTGCGTACAAGTACGTGCGGCTTGCCCACAAACGTGTGAAGGGCTCCTCATTTTCTTCCCCCAAATTAATTTTCCAGTTTGATGGTTTTTTTGAGGAAAACCTAGCGTAGCTCTATTGTATCCGCAATATATCACCTATCACATAATTTATTATTTATTTCTATATTTTTAAGAAAATTTATTATTTATTTCTACATTTAAGATAATTTTTAGTTGTATTTCCTGTATTTGCAAATGACATTAGATTTAGAAACAAGTATTTATTTCTTATTTTTAATTATATTATTTATTTCTTATTTTTAAATATATTATTTATTTCTTATTTTTAAATATATTATTTATTTCTTATTTTTATATATAATAATTATTTCTTATTTTTATATATAATAATTATTTCTTTAAATTTATTTTTTATTTTATATTTTTAAATATAAAAGATTTTGAAGAAATAAAAAACTTCATTTTACACAAGAAGTATCCACTATATTTAGCTGGCAACCATGGAGAAAAAAAAATTTCCGTGTCAAAGCCGCTAGATATAAAATGCTCAATGGTAAATTATTTCACCATTCCCACAATGGTGAAGTAATTATCGACTCTATAAAAAGAAAGGAGCTTATAAAAACAGTCCACGGTTGTTGTGATACCAATATTGAAGCTACATCACTTGCTGCCCATTTTGGTATTACCAAGATTCACAAAAAATTGGCTGATAGGTAAAATATTTAGATTATGTTTAAAATAATATAAAAACAAATTTTATTTACACAAATACTTCCAATATTTAACAAATTCATGTTTTATTAGGGACTATTAATAAATGTATTAATAAATGCCATAATATATGAATCATAATAATATTTCTAGTTATATGATTAATATTATTTTTTAGCTTCTGGTGGCCAAATATGAAAGATGATGTAGTCAAATTTATCAATTCTTGTGACATCTGTCAAAGGTGTAATACAAGATTTGATAAAACTACCAATGAGTTACAATCAATTCCTATTAGAGCAAAGGTAGTAAAATATATAAAAATCATTGATTTGTTAAATTTTTTTATAGTTTTAATCATTTTAACTGTATATAATTTTTTTTTAGATATTTTATTTATAGTCTTATTAATGGTATGATACTATTATATATATATGACACTTGTTTTATAATTTGTTATTTTCGCATATTGTATAATTTAAATTTTAAATTAGTTTATTATACCTGCCATCCTTATAGAATTTTTTTTTTCAGTATATCTACAACCATATAAAGTGGTAAGTAAATTTATTAAATTATCCTTTGAATCTTTTTACATTATAATTTATAATGACATTTTTTTTAGCTTATCCTATATTATTTTTCTCACTTAGCCTTAATCCCAATTTTTAACCATACTAAAGTTCATTAACAAGCTTAACTTTTTTCACAGTAGAATATATATAACATTAATCTTTTATTTTATAAAAGGTATGGTCACAAATAGGAGTTGATTTGTGTACTTTGCCAGAAAGTGAGGATGGCTATTAATATATTGCAGTAGCTGTTGATTACTTCAGTAAATATGTTGTAGCCATGCCTTTAAAGGATAAAACAGCGAAATCAGTATCGAAATTCCTTTATTCGTTACTATGCACATATGGCAGAGCAAAAGTATGATTTATTTGATAATAAAATATTAATTTTAGTTTTAAGATTCAAATTAATGATCAAGGACGGGAGTTTGTGAATGAAGTTAGCACTAATTATCACAAACTCGTGGGGACCATGCAGAGGGTGACAAGTGCTTATCACCCTCAAGCAAATGGCATGGTTGAAAGGGTAAATAGAACTATCCAAAATGCACTTCTAAAGTGTATTGAAGATGATCAATTAACTTGGACAGATGCCCTGCCTGGCATATTATTTGCCTATAACACATCTGATCATGAATCTTCGAAGTTCACGCCCTTTGAGCTGATGTATGGTAGAAAAG